CGGGGCCGCGAGGGCGGGAGCGAGGGAGGGGCGGGGGACCCGGAGACCAAAGAGGAGACAAAAGGACGGGCCGGGGGGGCGGGGCCTCGGCCGCGGGCTAGGGGCGGGGCGCGGGACGCCTGCGGGGAGGGCTGTGTGCGGGGGGGGGGAACACACACTAGGGGGCGGGGCCTGGCGAGGGACGTTAAGGGACAACACAAGGAGGGAGCGTGGGGTACGGGGGCGGGGCGGGAAGGGAGAGAAGGCCCCACCACGATGACCATGGAGGGGAACGGGGCCTCGGGAGGGTGGGCCGCACACCGGGAGCACGGCCAGTCGGTGCAGCAGGGGCCGGGGCTGAGGCTGGGTGGGCGGGGAAGGGTGAGCCGACCCCGGAACGCAGCGAGGACCTGCAGGCGGAGGCGGCTGGGCATGTGTGCCGCTGCCGCGGGCAGGGACTGGATGCTGCAGACCGCAGTGACCCGGAGACCACGGTGGGGGCCACACAGACGGGACGGGCGACCGAGGCGGGACGCAAAGGGATCCGGGGAAAGTGAGACCTACAGGGCTGAGATGGGTGGCGGGGGCGGCCTTGCGCGCGGCAGGAAGGCGCCACCACCGCCTTCTGCCCGTCCCCAGTGTGCCCCGCCCCGTCCGGGGGCCCTAAGGGCAGCGGCCTGGGCCATGGGGGAGCCGAGCCAGGGCGGTACCATTTGGAACAGAGAGGGGGGCTTAGGGGGAAGGGAGGAGCCAGGGGTCAGAACCCTATTGGGGGCGGGCCCCCCCCCGCCACACCCTGGGAAAAAGGCTTGGGCACATCCAGAATGGACCAATCAGCGAACAAGGCCAGGGTGGCGTCAAGGGGCAGCTTCGGCCAATGGGAAGGGAGAACACTTCGGAGGTTCGGAGGAAGAAAAGAAAAAAAAAAAAAACCCACGAAACAACAATCGAATCCGTTTGGGGGTTTGGAAGGCTGGGAGTGGGCGTCGTTTACAACGCGTTCTAGGGCTTGCCCTCTCTTTTGAAGGATGGGGTCGCTTGCATCACCGTTGTGGCGGGGCGCACCCAAAGCTGAGGAGGGTCCCGGGAAAGTAGACGAGGATTGGCCGTTTACTGGGGATACTTGATTGGGCGCTTCAATTTAGGGGGTTGGTTGGGACGGAGGTGGCAGCTTTGTGCATTAAAGAGTGAAGCAGGTTGTCTTGTAAACGGAGGTTCAAGTGGGCAGGGGTCCCTCATTCCCTACCATTCGCTACTGCCTCCTTAAATGTCAACCAGCAAGTGGGTCGTGCATAATCGCAGTGGATAACTTGGGCTCTGCAGACCGCTCAATGGATTCGTTGCCCTTTCTGTCCACACGTTCGTTCCAGCGAAGATTGGTCCGGGCTCCAAGCTACCACTGGGACCTTCGTTATAATGTATGGCCTTTTAGGCTTCAAAGTTAGTTTACAGTTCGGACCCCTAGTTGGTTACCACTGAATATAGCTCTCTTCTTTTGAGTCTTCTACCCTACTCCAGAACATAAAGGTAGTCCTGGCTACTAACCATGAGACTCCACCAGCTCTACCGAGGCAGAAAGACGTGCAGGCTGCTTCTATAAAGACTTACAATGTTAGAAACCCTGCAGAGCGGTTTCCTCTGTCCTAGAGAATAGCCTAACTCGAAAACGACTTGACAGCAGTGGACTGGGTAGCTTTTAGATCTTAAAGGTCTAAAAAATTTTTACCTGACTTGGCTAGGTGGTGAACTTGGAAAAGAGGGCTATACTGGTGGGAGAGACTGCAAAAGCAAGCTGGAGGGTGGCGGAGGAAGGGGAGGGTAGTCTAGGAATTCAGTGTTACTAAAGACCTGGATCTGGCTATAAGGGAGTGGACATACTGGTCTGTTTCTGTGGCGAGTTTCATTCTCTGAGGGCTCTGCCACTTGCACACAGATTTGCCTCTTCTGGTCCAAAAGGACTGGGAGATAAATCTTCACGTTCCTTTGAGGCGAAGGACAGTAGTGTTCCCAACACCATGGTTGTTTTTACAGACTGTCCTTTGGACTAAGAGGGGGTGGTGGTGTGTGTTTCAGAAATTCCTTGTTAGGAATTTTGGCTGCAGGGGCTCTTTCCCTATATTTCTTGTCAAAAAAGCAAGTTCCTCCTTGCTGAGAGCCTAGGGGAGCTGCCATGCAGCAGAGTAATGCTTGAATAAAACTAGGTTTTGAATCAATTGTGGGAGGCTGGCCCTGAGTTTGGAAGGAAAGGAAATGGAGCTTTACTTCTAGAAAGTGTATCTACCTCATTTGTAAAGGAAAGCTTAAAACCTGTCTTGTTTAGAACACAGAAAGGGGCTACTCTGGACAGCCACTTCTGCAAGATGGCTTGCACACAGGTGCACAGTTTAAAAAGTAGCTATTCTTGTGGGGATAGAAGCTATCTTCAGCCTCAGCCTAGTCTTAGGAGTCCAGGGCAGAGTCTAAATGCAGTTTGTGCTTTATTAAGTCCTGAGACTAAGAAAGTATAGGCAGTATTTTCTTACTATTCCTGTGTTTTCCAGTTGTTGGCATTTACAGTGGATCTGATATAATTTAAAATCACATATTAGGGCAAATTCCACTCTTTAGATCAAACTGCATAATCCTTGGAACTCTTGCATATGGTTCAAAACCATCAGGCTGCTTCATGGGAGCAACATGGGCAATCTGTGCAGTTTATAGCCTCTGAAACCCACTGGAAGGTCAGTTATGGATTGGAGCCAACTTGAGAGCATATAATCCTTGGGGGACTCTGGTGGCCTCATGATAAAGGTTTGTGCTGCCACCCCAAAGGCAAGTGGCTCTGGTCTAGTAGCTGCTCCAGGGGAGAAGTATGGACAGTCGCCTCTAATATGATTCCCCCTCTGAAAACTTACTGAAGGGTCAACTATAAACCAGTTCCAACTTGACAGCCATGACTGAGTTAGTGACATAATACTTGAGGACAGCCGGTGGTCAAGGAGTAGAATTCTTTCCTTCCATATGAGACTTGAACCCTGAGTTACATACCTCAAGCACAGTTACTACCCATCTGTTAGTAAAGGCTTGCACGCTGCTACAGTGCTTCACAGGTTTCAGCCTAGTTCCCAGAAAAAAGATGGTAGGTACTAGGAAGAAATGCCTGGCAATCTACTTCTGACTAGCCAGTGGAATCCTCTGTACCACAATGTTCTGACTCCACTGTGGCTGGGATTGCCCTGAATTGGAGGCCTGGACTGATGGCAGGGTAATCCTTGTAAGGCTCTGAACTTTCCCAGAAAGGTGCCACTGGCCAACACAGTGGAGAGTATCAAAGGTATCAGACACAGAGAAAAGGATTCAACCAGGAGACGACACAGAATATACTAGGTTAAAAAGCCACAGGACTTTTATTGCTAATGAGTGGTTATGCAGTGAAACTGGCCTGCTTCAGAAGTGACCCTGCAGCCACACAGAGCTGGGGAAGGGGGACGACGAGGAGGAGGAAGTAGCCAGGGAAAAAGATGCACTTCTCTAGCACCTCAAACTAGAGAGTTTCTCTTCAGGTGTTTTTTATGGCGGACAGATAGCTTTTTGGGATTCCTCTGGATCATGGAGAGATCAGACCTTGAGGAAGGCCGGTAGCCTACGTCCTCAGCCTTTATTGGCTTTATGATATGGCCTGGCTTGGTGACAACCTTGGGAGTGATCAGCTTTTGGAATGCTCTCTGGGTGTTCCACGTTGACCCTATAGGGGTCTGGATGGTCCGTTCAAATTGCTTATGGTGGGTGAATGGGTACGGGAGCACGTGTACCTGGAAAGGAAGGCAGAGTGACTTGGGCATCAGTCCAGACCCGTGGTGCAATTGTTCATTCACTGTAATGGGTACTGGTTAGACACAGTTTTGGCATCTCAATGCTCCCAGCTAACACCATATCGGGAAGGTCCTGGGCACTTGGGTGTGGCCATGGAATTTATGGTTCTACTCCTCTGGGAGTCCTGCTGACAGAGTGGGTAACATCTCAGGCTGCTAACCATAAGGTTGACAGTTGGAGCCCAAGGGAGGGTTACCATGAGTCAGAATCATTTTGATAGTACTGGCCTTGATTGTAAGGTACCCTAGTAGTATAGTGGATAATGTATGAAGCTGCTAACTAAGAAATCAGCTGTCTGCTTGAACAACCACTTTGCAGGAGAAAGATGGGCAGTCTCCTCCATTCTACCTATAGACGGTGTGAAAAGTTTTCCTTGCACTGAATTCTGCTTCTGCAGAATTCAATTTCTGCCTTATGAGACCCCAAATGACAGGTTTCATACACTTTGATCTCGTTCTCTGAGGTTAACTAGCTTGTGTCACAGGACACAATTTTAAATCCATTCATTGTCATGAACACGTGCCAGTAAGGACTAGCTTAAACCTATGCAAATGGTTAGTGTGTTTGGCTATAATATATGTTGTTGTTTGCTGTCGCTGTTTGTTTTATAAGATATAATATAATGATACATCATCATCATCATCATAATAAGAAGAATATTGGCTGTAATATATATTGAAGATTCCAGTCCACCCAAGAAGTACCTTGGAAGAAAGGTCTAGAAACCTCCTAAACCCAGCTGTTGAAAATTGTATGGAGCTCAGTTATACTTTGACACATATGAGGTCAACTATATAAATAACCTTGTTGGGTGCTATCAAGTTGATGACAATTTACAGCAATCCTAGGTGACAGAAATGTCCCACAAGCTTTTCGAGGCTATAATCTTTGCAGGATCAGGCCACCAGGCTGTTCTCCCATGGCACTGATGAGTGGGTTTGCTCTGCCATCCTTGCAGTTAGCAGCTGGGCACTTAAGGCTCGCTCTTAGTTTGGTTTGGGACTTGTTTACATCACAATTTAAGCATTTCTTAGGGTGCTAGTTGAAACTGCAAGTTTGGGGGCCTGTGGCTGCACAGAAGGCAGATCCAGTCCAATGTAAACCTCCCTCATGCCCGGTGCCAGGAACAGAAACAGTCTCACCAGCTTGGTGCTATGGTTACAATGGTCCACCCTTCCTGACTACTGGTCACATGACCCCTTACCTGATGAGCTGCTACATGGACGTTGCGTTTCTCGCTGATGATCACATTCGGCAAATTCTTATCCTTTCTTGGAGGACCCTCGGGGGCTTTAATGAGAAACCTGAAAAGCAAGTCAGCAGGCCATCTGACAAGCAGCATTCCATTATGGGTATAGTCTAAAGGAGGACGCTTGGGGGTGAAGTAGGAGAACCTGGGGTCTTTCCTATAAGTGTTCTTTTTCTATCTTACCGGCGTCTTTTTTTAGCACTGGGCTGCAGGCCCATACCACCCCATTCGCCCCAGCCAGGCAGCGTCAGGTCCACATCCTTGGGCTTATTCGCCTCCACAGCTTCCCGCTTTTCTTTCAAGAAGTCCCGGATGACATCATCCCCAGCAAACGCTTCCTTTATCATCTGCTTTTGGGCTCTCTCTTCATCTTCCTGGGAAGGAAAAGAAGTGAGAGCTGCCACTTTTCTAAGAGCAGTAGTTCTTGGCAAGAACGTGTAAAAGTTTGGGCCATGACATTTCAGCGCCCCCTAGGGGGACAGTGTTGAGTAACAATGGTCTTGCACTACAATCACGCTCACATTTTCTACTTTCCAGCGTAAATACTGCTAGTTCATTATCATATGATTCAAGTTTACACCTTCAACAGGGCAGCTGCAGGGTGGAGGAAGGAATGGCCAGGCCAGATTGTGGACCTCCTCTGGCCTATGTTCCCGAGATAAGTGGCAGGGTTTTGCACTTTGGTGGTTCTAGACCACTGAAGTAGGGAGTCCCGTGCTATTTGGGAACATCCTCTGAGAATGAAACTTTGGCAACAGCTCAGTGACACCTGAACACTGTACGGCCTGGGCCTGGTTGGGGCTTTGACTCCCTTGTTCTTTTGAGTGTCAGCCCAGGGAGGCTTTGGAAGTTCAGAATTTATGATGTGTGTGTGTGTGTGTGTGTGGGGGTGTCTCAGCAACATGTGTGCACACGCCACATACCTGTGCACACACATGCATGCGTTTATTAAATGGTCTCTGGGACCAGCCTGGGCCCACACAATGCTACTACAGAAATGGACCCCCAAGCATAACAAAGCTTCATGGATTTCAATCCTCCTGCGCCAAGGGTACTTTGTGCACCAGCCCTGCTCCCCCAACAATGGCCCACCACCTTGACTCTGCTTACCAACTCCTCCACGGCCGTGGGAACTGCCAAAGATTTCACCGATGGGGATTTGGTGGTTAGGAGGTTCTGCAGGTTGATCATCTGTGTCTTCCTTTTCTTATTCTTAGGGACCTCGGGCTGGGTCTTTGGGTCCGTCTCCATCTGCTGTTCCTGTAGCACAGGCCTAGCATACTCCGTGGTTTGGAAACTACTTTCTTTGCCCAGCTCTTCTAGCTCCTCGAGCGTCCGCACTCTCTCTGGCCTCTGCAGCAGCAGGGGCTCCTCCTCCTCCTCCTCCTTCTTGTCCTCAGCCACCTCCTTTCGCTGCACTGGGAGAAGAGCCCTCGTAGTGTTCTCTTTCTGCTGCCTGGACTGCTGGGATTGCTTGTGGAGTTTCTGAGACAGTACCTTCAGTTCAGATAGCACCTCCTGGCTGCTGATATCTGGCGGAGGGGGGGGTAGGGTACCAAAGCGGTCAGAAAAGGATTTTGACAGTTGCTTATTGACGAACATTTACTGAATGTGTTCCACCCTATTACTCAAGCACCCACCGGGAGAAGACAGTCCAAGGTCAGATGGGAAGAGAAGGACCCACATCTGAGATTGTACGGAGAGTTAACTGATCATTACTTGTCAACCAGGAGGCTGTGAGGTCTGGGAGTTAAAGGATCATGCCAGGAAGCAGCTGTCCTGGGTCCTATTCCAAGCTTTGCCAGTGACTCACAGTGTAGCTGGGACTATGGCTTCGTGTTTCCTTGTACAGTAAACCCTGCTGGAGGAGCTCACCCAAAGTTCCAAACAGAAAAAGGGAACCATTTTAACAGGTGGCCTCTGAATGCAGTTTCATGCTGATTTATGCTTCTTGTTATGTGCCATCACGTCAATTCTGACTCATCACAACCCCACGAGAACAGAGTAAAAATGCCTCATGAGGTTTTTCTAGGCTGTAATCTTTAAGGGAAGGTGCCCTGGTGGCACAGTGTGTAATATATCAGGCTGTTAAATGTAAGGTCAGCAGTTCAGATCTACCAGCTGCTTTGCAGGAAGACAGGTGGTTTCTTCCTATAAGAATTTGCAACCTCAGAAACCCAATGGAGTGTTGTGGAGTGGGAAATGACCTGACCACAGTGGGGTGGGCTTCTGAACGCTCATGAAGGCACTGAGTGGGTGTGAACTGTCAACCTTTTGGTTAGCAGCTGAGCACTTAACCACAGCACCACCTGAACCCTTTAATGTCTAATTTACTGTTTGTAAAAACCTTACCCAGGATTTACCTTGACTGACAGTTTCTGTTCTTGGTGTCAAAGCAGTTATTTCATAAGCTACTGTGGCTCACTGAGAGTGGAAACTACAGAACAATATCATTGATTTCACATGCAAGCAAGATTCTACTGAAGATTATCCAAAAACGACTGGAACAGTACATCAGCAGAGAACTGCCAGAAGTCCAGGCTCAGTTTAGAAGGGGTCGTGGTACTAGGGATATTGTAGCTGATGTGAGATGGATCTTAGCTGAAAGCAGAGAATACCAGAAGAATGTCTATCTGTGTTTCATTGATTATGCAAAGGCATTTGACTGTGTGGATCATAACAAACTGTGGCTGACTCTGAGAAGAATGGGAATCCCAGAACATTTAATTGTGCTAATACGAAACCTATACTTGGACCAAGAGGCAGTAGTCAGAACAGAGCAGGGTAACACTGCATGGTTCAAAATTGGGAAGGGTGTACGCCAGGGATGTCTCCTGTCTCCATACCTTTTCAACCTGTATACAGAGCAGATGATCTGAGAGGCTGGGCTCTATGAGGAGAAGCGTGGCGTTAGCATTGGTGGACAATCTATCAACAATCTGCATTATGCAGATGACACAACCCTGCTCGCTGAAACTGAGGAGGACCTCATGCACTTACTGCAGAGGGTCAAGGACTGCAGCCTTCAGTATGGACTGAGGCTCAATGTCAAGAAGACAAAGATTCTCACCACTGGACCAATCGGTAGTATCAGGATGGATGGTGAAGAGATTGAGATTGTTTACAGCTTCAGTTTGCTCGGCTCCACGGTCAACACTCTTGGCACCAGTAGCCAGAAAATAAAAAAACATATTGCGATGGGAAAGTCTGCTGTTAGGGACCTCTCTAAAGTACTCAAGAGCAACGGTGTCTCTCTGGAGACTAAGGTGCGCCTGATACAGGCCATGGTCTTTGCAATCACTTGTTATGCATCAGAGAGTTGGACAATGACTAGGGAGGATAGAAGGAGAATTGACGCCTTTGAGCTGTGGTGCTGGAGAAGAGTACTGAATGTACCATGGACTGCCAAGAAAACAAACAGATTCATCCTAGAGAGGGTTAAACCAGGCTGCTCCTTGGAGGCAAGGATTCTGGGGCTTCGCCTGACATACTTTGGACATGTTGTAAGGAGAGACAGGTCTTTAGAGAGGGACATCATGCTGAGTAGAATGGAGGGACAGCGCAGGAGGGGAAGACCCTCTATGAGGTGGATTGATTCAGTGACTGGGGTAATCGGGATGGGTATGTCAGAGGTAATGAGATTGGCACAGGATAGAGCAGGGTTTAAGGCTGTTGTACATAGGGTCGCTATGAGTCGCAAATGACTCGACGGCACATTACAACAACAACAACAACTGTGGCTCACATGTTCCAGTCACTAGCAACTTCTGAAAAGATGCCACAACTCAGTGACCCCGAGGCAACACTGGCAACGTGTCCTTTGCTTTAGCTCCAGCTGCCTTCATCTTCAAGTTCATATTACTCTTTAGCACTGGCTTTAAGCCCCTCCAAGAAGCTACCAAGTTCTCGCCTTTGAAGACATGACTGTTATTTCTCATATATTCTTTTTTTTAAAAAAAAAATTATTATTTTTTGGTGTGTGTACCATCAAATTGGATCTGACTGGTACAGGAGGAGACTGTCCCTCCTTCTCCAGCAAAGCATCTGGTGGAGTCCAACCATGTACCTCTGGGATTGCAGTGCAGCTTCTTGTCACTAGGCCACCAGAGCTCCCTTCATATATTCTTATATATATTTAAGAATAAGAATCAAGTGTTCTTGTTCCTTCTATCTGGAGTCCAATACTTCCCAGTCTTTTAGAAAAATTCTTTATTATTCAAGGAAATCTACTCTCCCTTTTATACTTGCACACTGCAATCAACTGTTCTACACACTTATACACAGCTGTTGGGAGAGGGGTGGGTGTGGGCCTAGCTTTTGAGGGGGGCCCAGGAGGATTTGTAGTGCTACTTTCTGAAACCCCCCTCAGAAGTGACTGCTTCTAACCATCAATCCCAGACATCTCCATCTGAAAACCCTAAGTGTAAAGATCCCACAAAACATACTAAATGACAGCTCTTTTAAGAGGAATCGTTACCACAGATAAACAGATTTTTGGCTGTCATCTAAATGCATCATTTCTCCGATGAAATAAAACCAGATCTGAGAATTCATCCAGAGAGCTGGGTGATTTTGGAATGTAAACACCTACCTAAGCAGGCGCGTAATACCCTGGTTTATCCCCAGAATGGGAGCTCTTTGACCTGTCTCAAGGGTGTTAACATTGTTTACAGACAAGCTCTTCTGTATAAAATAGACAGTGGTAACTGCTGTACAACACAGTAAATGTAGTTAGTGTTACTGAACTGAACACACAAAAATGGGTACCATGGCAAAGGTTCTGTCACAGATACAGCACCCACACAGGCACACATCTACTTAAATGTTTTGACACGACAAACATATGTATACTTACAATTTTAAAAAGATAACATGAATAAGCATATTTCTAGTGTGGGGCAGATGTTTAGAACCACCTAATTTTTATGGTTGGTCCAATTAACTGAAAATAAGTACAGGGAGTTATACTATAAAGTTAGAAATATGCCCATGCTTTTCCAAAGAAATTCATTTTAACAAATTCTCTCTCTTTTTTCTTTTTAACTTAAAACATAAAAACTCCCCCCTCCCTTCCTGGGCAGGAGAAACCAGACTAAAATAAAAGCTGCATACTACTAATTTTATGTTCCATGGTAACTGATAGGGAAAAAAATGCCCGTCATAAAAGTCTCAGTCTGTCAGAGACAAAAAGCAGAATTACGAAGACTAGAAAGTGCCCCACCCACTGCAGAATGGAACAAAACACGGCAGCAATGCCTTGAAATCCACTTGTGCATGACTACAGGTGCGAATGGCCTTTCTCAGATCTGCCCTTCTCCCAACCTTGCCGCTCTCTGGATTGTAGGGAACAATGAGGGCAATTCAATGCCATTTGAAACCAGGGGCATAAATGTGTCTGAACCCACACTGGACAGCTGAGCTTATTAGATGCCTCTGAAGAAAATGGGTTATTATAATCACCTAATTTCTCTTCAGGAACTGTGTACACACAGCCTGTAGCATCTCCAGAGCTAAGGGCTGTGCACACGTGTGGTGCCACTATGACACCTGCCCCTCTGTGTCCTCCCAACTCACCTTGTGGTTCTTGATTGCCCTTGGGTTCCTCATCCAGCTTGAGCTCAGAACTCTTTCGAAGGGCTCGCCTTTCCTCAAATTCTTTCAACAAGGTTTCTTCGGCCGCCCCTGGGCTTTCTTCTGCCTCGCTTTCAGACTCCTCGTGGGCTGCATGCTCAGGAAGTGGTTTAGAATCCTGGATTTCAGGCTCTTTAGTGTTACTGGTGCTGTTTCTGAACATCCAGGGATTTGGCCCATTGGCACTCATTTGGATTTCATTCACGGCCTCAGGGACAAGTTCAACCTCTTCTAGGGCGCCCTCCTCTTCCTCACTCTCAGGTGCTGCCTGGAGTTTCTGTGTCAGCTCTTTGTTCTTGGCCAGTTGTTCCTGCATGGCCTGGCGAGCCTAGAGGAAGGAGGCACAGCAGGAGAGAGTCCTGTCATAAGTGACCACAATGCCACCACTCCTGGTTCATCCTTCTCTCAGTTTGACACTCAAATTGATAGTATTTTCTACATACAGCACCTGCTGCTTCAACTGCATACATAATGCTGTGTTCCTAGCTATGGGATGAAACAGAAGGCAAGTGCTTTGTCCTTGAGGAAGTAAGCTGTTCTCCGGCCCCTTGTACTAGATTTGCCTTTAGCATTGATGCCTGCTCCTTTTCCACTGTGAGAGGCTATTTACTCTCTGTCTTAAAGAGGTCCTGATGCCCGCTCAGATTCCCAGTTTCTCACTGATTCTCGTGACTCTTCTCCATCTCTGCTTCTCTTACCATCCTTGTGAGACTATTACACCTACTCTTCCTTTAATCCCATCTTTACTCCCCCTCGCAACGGTCTCTTACCTCCAGGTCATACTTGGCCATGATTGCCTTTGACTTGGCCCACTTGCCGCTGTTCTGGTGCTTAAGGCTCATTCGCTCCTGGAAAGGAAGGATAGAAGAGTGAGATCCTTACCAAGGCTTGGGGACAGTGGCTTCCAAGGACTGGAGGCCGGAGGAGAGCTCACCATCATCCTGGCCTTTTCAAGCTTTTCCAGTTCTTCCAGTGCTGCAGTGGGATCAACCTTCCGCAGAGCCTCAAAATCTTTGAGGGCTTTCTTGGCCTTTCCTTTCTTCACAATTTTGTGGTACCTAGAGGGCAAGAAGGGAGGGAGCTCTGGTGACCTAGAGGTAAGGAGCTGCGCTGCCAAACCTAAGGCATACAGTTTGAATCTACCAAATGCTCTATGGGAAAAAGATGAGTAGTTTCCTCCTGAGTTATAGCCTCTAAAATCCCGCTGGAGGGTCACCTATGGACCCGACAGTACATAACAACAAGAGAGTAAGAAGGACGGGGGTGAAGAGATTAGATTTAGCAGAAACCCTGATGCTACACATGAAAGTGCTCATGCTCCCTATGGGGCTTCCCTGTGAAGGGGCTGGAATGGACCCTCGGGGCCCCAACTACAGACACCTGGTGTGGGCCCCAAGAAAACTGTAGGACTCAGGCCCTGCTGCTCCCAGGAACAGAACTCTAAGAAGCCAAGAGTCTTCATTGCTTTTATATCCTAAAGGAGGAGTAGAACAAGTTCCAAAGAGACCCAAAGTTGGGAAGTCCACATGGCCTCTACGGAACAGAGCTCACTCTTCAGAAGGGAGATGTGACACCTGGGTAGGAGAGTCACTCAACGGCCCTCCTGTAGCTAAATCAAGAACAGAAGTGTGAATCCGAGGACAACAGGGCATCACTGCAGCAGGTCAAACTATGAGGTCTGGAGGAGAAAAGCCTGGTTGACTCCAGTCACCACACCAAGCAAGGCCTTTCCCCAAGGATTCATCAGTTAGCCCCATCATGTTCTTCCATTTGAACAAAAAGCCAGTTCACTGGGGCTGTCTTACATTTTGCTTTTGATTTTCTTCTCTCTTCTAGCCTTGGCCTCATAGTAGGACTGCAGGGCCCGGGCCCTCTGAAGTGTGGCTCGGCGCAACTTTACCTACAAAGAATGATGCTTACAGTGATTCTGGGCTTTAGGGCAACCCTGGGGAGAAATACAGCATGCTTGGGGCCTCGGGGCCTACACCACGTACCTCTTCCAGGCTCATGGCTTTGAGAGAGGCCTTTTCCACTGGAGTCAGTAAAGGGTCCGTAATCGGCTGCTTGTTCTTGTGGAGGACGTTAAAAATCTCCTGCTCCAGGGGTGTTCTTGCCTAAAAGAGGTGATCAAACGCCCCAGTCTTAAGTCATAGTCTTTAACTTCCTCTTTATACCCCTACAACCATCTATTTGATGACACTGTAACTGGAATCACTAACTGCAGAGGGCTGACTGACATGGCAAAAAAAAGAGGGTGCTATGAAACAGGTCCAGACTTGTTGTGCAACCGTGTAAATAAAGCTTTATTCTGACTGAAGACATTAGCAAGAGGACCCAGGCACCACTCTTGATATTATGGAGGGGATTGCTCTGTGTTCAGATTAAACCAGCAATGCAATACAATCTCTTAAGAAACGCAGCAGAATGCCCTTCAGGTAAGTGATGCCAGGACTAAATAACAGCAGCACTTCTGAGGAACACAGAACAGTCCTCGCTTTACTTGTCACTGGTGGCACAATCAGCACACAGTTCTGCGGAATAATAGCACACAGGGGAACCTCAACTTTTTTTTCAAACCATGGATGGTCAGCTGCCTACAAATCATATTATCTTTGCATTCTTGACATTCTAAGAAAAAATGAGGAAACCATGGCATTTTTCGGCATATACTGAATGGAGTTCAGAGTATGGAAAATGAATCTCCTGAGCATAAAAGTGCAGTGCCTTTAAAAAGATGACCTTCACATAATTAGTCTGCTTATGCTCAACATTTCCAATAAAACTCCACTCATTTTCTACCTTTGCCACCAACTCTTGGTTTCCAGTTATTTTTTGCATGGTAGGCCGTGTGAGTTACTGTGTAATCTCACATGTCAACAAGAGACCTCGTCTGCTGCTCACTGCTGTTGTGAGGATGGCTTCAAATAATCAGGCACACGGGGTCACAAAGATAGCTCTGAGGCAACAGATCTATTTCTAAACCTCACATACGAATTATATGTGGGTTTCCTCTTCACTAGCCATATGCATCGTGGTCAGTGTTAAACTTAACAAATATCTGAGTGAATGCATAAACATGTATCATCACAGGTTACAAGAGGCTATTGATTTAACCATAAACCTATTCTTCAGAATAGTGAAGGTGCATGTTTTGCCATTTCTAGTATTTGCAGCAGTGATCCATCACCAGCTCTGAAGTGATTTATATCACAATGCTGTAACCTCCCTTCAATTCAATTCAATTTACAAACATTTATTGATTGCTGTTTCATTCCAGGCATTTGCTCTGGGTGCTAGGAATACACAATTGATTAAGAGAGTTCCTGTCCTCATAGAGCTCGCAGCCATTCAGGGGAAAAACACACACACTCTCACAGCACTCATAACACACCCAGTTAGATGATATCCTATGGAGGAGTGAGAAGAAGTTCTGACTAGGAGGTGGGTTAGCAAGTGTGGGGAAGAAGTGACTTTTGTGAGTTAGGCCCTCGAGCACACATGTGGCTGTCAGGCAGAAGAGGCAACACAGGGATGAGGAAAAGCGGAAACACATGATACTGAGTGGTGTGGAAGGGAATGATATTGTCTGAGGTTCCATCAGTGGAACACTTTTCAAGGTTTTTAGGCAAGGGCCTGATAATCACGTTTGTGTTGCACAAAGAACATTCTGGTGATACATGCAATGTCTTGGAAACGGTGCACCTTAGAGTTGTGCTACCAACCCAAAGTCAAGTGGTTCGGAACCACCAGCTACTCTATGGGAGAAATATGAGCAAGCTCCTTCCCTGCAATTTGCAACTTCTGACAACCCACTGGAGGGTCAGCTAGGAGTCTATTCTGACTCCATGGCAGTAAGTCAGTGAAGTTTCTGGTACATATGGGAGACCCTAGTGATGCCTACTAGCCAACAGACTGAAGCTTAGAAGGGGTTGACAGCAGTCTTCAGGACATACAGATGACACTAAAAAGTCATGCAATCGATATGAGTTATTCATGGAATCTGCAGAGCAAGGGTAAAAAACCTCAGATAATAAAAACATCAGGAGTATGCCACAGAGGCCAAGGGGGCACTTTTAAGAATGTGATGTTAAAAAAAAAAAGAATGTGATGTGTCAACTGTGCCAAATAGGCTAGAGATGGATGAATAGGGCACAGGAGTTGGCCCCTCGCTAATAACCTGAGAGGCATTTCAATTTCAGGGGAGAAGGGAAAGACAGCCTGCTCCATCAGGTGAGAGTGTGGTGGTGGCCGTGGAGACCAGGTCTGCTCAAAGCATCTTCCTCAGAACAATGCTCCCATGAGTTAACAAGATCTACTTGGATTTTAAAATGTTTAGGAACGAACTGTAAGAGAGTTAAAAACATCAGTTTGTATACCTTGAGTGCACTCAGGTTCCACGTTTATCCTATCAGAGCCTTTAAAATGATAGTGTGGACTGTGACTTGGCAGCTTCTGGTGGGAGCATACAGCATGAAGCCATTTTCAGCATGAAGGGATACTGAAAGACTAAAGTCTGGGGAACACTTTGGGAAGTACTGGCATAAGTTAAAATGGGTGAATGACTAGAGGAGACGGGGTACGGTCACCACTTCTAATGCTCTGCAGTTTACAAATGCTTCTTTGGATGTATTGCCCCATTTAATTCTTCTGAGTGAAATGGAAGTTTAGGAAGCTGAGCCCAAACTGGTGCCATGATGGTTAAAGCACTCAACAGCTAACTGAAAGGTTGGTGGTTTCGACTCAAGCTGCTCTGTGGGAGAAAGATGTGGCAGTCGGCTTCCATAAAGATTTGTTGTTGTTACGTGCTGTCAAGTAGACTATGAGTCAGAGCGACCCGATGTTTAGCAGTTTGGAACCCTGCTCTACCCTGAGCCAACTATACTGTCTCTCACACACCTATCCTCAGTACCCCAGTTATTGTGTTCATCCATCTCATCCAGAGGCTTGCTCTCCTGCACTGTCCATTGACTTTTCCAAGCATGATATCTTTCTTCAAACATTGGTCCCTTCTGGCTACATGCCCAAAGTATGTGAGACAGAGTCTCAAAATCCTTGGCTCCAATGAGAAGCTTGGTTTCACCCTCTCCAAAACAGACCTGTAGATTTCCAGCCTTGGAAACCCTATGCACAGTTCTACTCTGCCCTACAGAGTTGCTATGAGTCAGAACCAATATTGCCTTTGGCTGGGACTAAAACTACAGAACATACTTTTGATTCTCAGCCTCCAAAAGAAACCTATATAATTTGGTGTTTTACACTCTTAAGTTGTAAGAGAGTTAGTCAGAGAAGTACCTCCTGCCTTTAAGAATTACCTTATTTCTCTGTGCTACTCTGGTTTAACTTCTCATAAAGGAATCTATGAAAGAATAAGTGGCATGAAGTATTCAGTGCTGCCCACTTGGGCCCCATTTTATCTTCCAGAAAGAGTTTCTGGAGAGCAGAGAAGTCTTAGAGGACCGCCTCCAACACCACTGGACCAGTTGCAATGACCAACTCAGTATCGAGGTTTGCTATGGTTTGCTTTCTTTAACTCGAAAGAAGTGGTCCCTCATGCTTGGGAAGTTGGAGGAGCAGCGAAAGAAGACAGGTGGATTGAAACAGTGACTGCAGCAATGGGCTTGAGTATGTCAGAGATAGTGAGGAAAGCACAGGATAGATAGGAGAGGGTTCAGACTGGTTGCCCACAGGGTTGCTATGAATTGTTCTTGACTCGACGGCACCTAACCACCACCACCATCACTACCTCCAAATCAGCAAATAGAACAGACACTGGTAGTATGCTGACCTTACAGAAAAAGGAGGGAGATATGAATACATAAATGAAACCCAAAGAAGAAGAAGAAAAAAAACTGTACTAAAAGTGGTTACTTTCAGGCGAGCACTAAGAAAAACCAAAGCAAAGCTTCCTGCTGTTGAGTTAATTCCAATTCATAGCAACCCTCTAGGAGAGCTGAAGTGTCCACAGGGTTTTCCAAGGCTACAAGATGAAAACAGAGAGCCTCATCTTCCTCTATGGAGTGGCTGGTGGACTTTAACCACGGACCTTCTCATTAGGAGCCCAGTGCTTAATCCACTGCACTCTCAGAGCTCCTTCTGAGTAAGAGAGTAAATGTAAGTAGGTGGGGGAGAGGAGCAGATTTCTACTATATTATACATATATATACACTATACATATACATATACAATGTATATACATACACACATATACATATATGTATCTTCTGTACTCAGAATCTTTTTCAGCCCTGCAAAATTGCATTACCTCTTATTTTTTTTTCCTAAAGTCTCCTTTCCATTCTGCAGCCACACTTTAAACCTGATCTCTCTTTTTTCATGTGGAAAGGAAGCATCCTAGAAAGTAGTGACAGCATCATCAGAAACAGAGCGTATACTATATGAAGCAACACTGGCTGGATTTCTAGTTACTGTGGCAATATTTATCTGGATTAGACCTAGTCATTTCAACTTTGCCAAACACAGGACATTATTCCTGGGTTTTTAGAAAGTACAAAGAAGCACAAGGAGACCATAAACTTAAGGTTTGGGCTCTGCTTTGATTGGTTTCCTGTTTAAGAATGAGCCACTTATTACAGACAACCCCAAAGGTATATAGAAAAAGAAAGATTAGCTGTTCTAAAGCAGTTGCTCGTAGACTTTAGAGTGCGAACAGGATTGCCAACTTTGACTTTTGCCAAGTAAGGTTATAACCACCATTCCACCCGCAACCTGAATATTTTCTATCATCAGAATCTCCCAAGAGAAAAGCAATCTTAACCTCATTAAACAGCAGCTCGTGGCCCTCCACCTACCAAACATACCTCATCACAAAAGTTTGGGGTTCCCCTCCACCCTTTTGTATCATTTGTTAGGAACCCAGTTCTAAAATACCCATTTCCTTTCATTGCAGCCCAGAACCATGGGGAGGCCTGGTGGCACAGTCACTAACTGAAAGGTTGGTGGGTCAAACCCACTAATTGCACCACAGGAGAACGATGTGGCAGTCTGCTCTTGTAAAGAGTTACAGCCTTAAGAACCTTACAGGCAGCTCGCCTCTGGCCTACAGGGCTGCTCTGGGTTGGAATCAGCTTAACAGTAGCAGGTTTGGTTTTACATGTTAGACTTCTATTTTAAAGTAATTTTCCTTTATGGGAAACTTTTGAGTTCTAGTACCTATCTTATTGTCCTAAGGCATCATTAGTGCTACTGAATCTCTGATTTTCCTAGAATCAACATGTAGCTTTAAATGCCCTTTAACAATTGGAGCATTAAGGGAAAAAAACGCAGCAGCATAATTTTATATTCTATTCTCGTAATCTAAGGTTTCAACAAAAAAAATATGGAAATAACCAAGCAGAGTATACTATAAAATAATGAAAGGTGATTACAGAGCTAATCTGATTGGCTATCACCTAACTGACAATGGAGCCATGCCACCCCTTTCTGAGTTAAACTGGAATTTAGACTTAACATGTCTCACATTCTCACCTTTTGAGGTTTATGTTCATTTTCTTGTACTCACCTTCCAGCCACTGAGCACATGTTCAATGGGAGCAACAGATGACTGCTCCTTTTCCAGTGGAAAAACCAGCTGCTCTGCTTCTCGGTTCTTTAGAACTACAGGATCCCATTTGGAAAGAACTTGGGAGGTTTTATTGAATGCCACTTCTCTGTGGATCTAAAGCAGCCAATGTACATAAAAGGAGAGAGCCACAAGGTTAAGTATCACACTCAAATGACTAACAGGAAACCAGGCAATTAGGATGCTGGTGATAAGCTCTTGCTTACTTCTCAGCACAGTAATTCTCCCTTCTCTGAGATGATTCTGTCTTTCCTTGTCAATTAAATTTCTTCCCTCAATAAGACGACTGGCTCCATAACTTACCCTGGCAATCTCTTCTTTGTTAAGGGGCACCTCCACAGTCTTTTTTGATTTGACTCTATTCAGTTGTTTTTTCACAGTGGCCAAGGAGGATGAAGTTTTCACAGGCTGAAGCAGATCTGAAAGGACCAGCTTTTCTCTTGTTCCTGTGCAAAGAGTTGTTTTGAGAATGGAAATAAAAATCAAATGGTACATATTAATGAGTTATGCAAATATTAAGCATTATTATAGTGAGAGGCAGTCATTCTGAAAACCCTCTCCCAGAAGTATCTCATCAAGTCCCGGAAGAGATTGTGAACCTAGAAGAAATTCCTCACAAGCTCCATGCATGGACATCTTTCTTCTTACCTTCAGAACTGACACTGAACTCTGAGATCTTCAGACTAGCCTCTGATCTCTCAGCCAATTTCCACCTGTAGTTGGGCAAAATATAGTCAGAGTGCGCACATTTCTTTCATCACTTAGGGCTTACTCAGATTTCATATACTTTGTTATAGGGTCAGGTTTCATCATCAGAGGTTAATGACAAACTCCTGACCTTGACTTTTGCATACACCAACCTCACTAGGAATGAGTGTAGGGAGTAAATCTAGCCTCCACCATTTCCCTTTCTGTGGGTCTATCCCCTAAAAACCACAAGGCACTGCAAAGTAGGCCTAGTGGAAAAAGAACGTGCTTGGGACGAAAACACACTTGGAGTTGAATCCTGGCTCTTTCTACTGATCAGCTTGGTGAGGCAAGTCAATTACCTTTTCTAGTAATGCCTGCTCAATCCCTCAGAAGACACTATGAGTGGATTAAGTAAGAAATCAAATGTGCCAAGGCTTAACATAGTAATAGCAGTAGGGACAATAATACCCAATAATTATATAATGTTTACCAAATGCCAGGCACTAGTTTAAGAGCTTCATGTGTATGAATTGAGACCTCACAACTTTGTGAGGTAGGCAGCACAATTTTTTAATTGTGATGCGAACATACACAATAAAAACACACACCAATTCAAATAGTAGGTATTATTTTGAATCTTCTTTTATAGTTGAAAAACTGAAGTGTAGTGAGGATAAACGGCTTGCTCACAATCTGTCTCCAAAGTATGTGCTTCTTAATAACTATGCCATACTGCCACTTCAGTCCTAGGCACTCCTGGTGGAATTCAGTGAGCGATAAGCCACCCAGACAGGGGGGAATGTTACCTAGTCTTGCCATCAAGGGAACTGATTGATTCCAGAAGCTTTTGATGTTTCCTTTCTCCATCACTGTCCCCCTAGGAAAAAAAAAGTAAAGAGAATGAAGGAAAGGGAGAAGATAGCACAGAAATTGAGGTCCATGCAAAAACTCTTTTTGTTGGTGGAGAACCAAGCAACTAAAGGAGGTCTGTAAGCTTTCCAACACAAATGGGAGCTCTGGTGGTACAGTCTGTAGGGAGTTGTACTGCTAACCCAAAGGCTGTGTCTGTGCCTATCTGGAAGTTCAAGTAGCCACTTTGCAGGGGAAAGATGGACAATCTCGTCCCATACGATTCACAGCCTTGGAAACCTGCTGAGGAGCCAGCTATGAATTGGTTCTGACTCGACGACAATGAAGGTTACACAAATCAAACAAGACAAGTGCTATGAGAATAATTTATCTGTATCTCTATCTATTGAGAGAATGTGATGCTCACAGACCCTACACTGGGTTTAATTTGCAGAGGAGGTGACTGCTCATCTTTCTCCCATAGAGCAGCTGGTGGATTAGAATTATGTGCTTTCAGGTTGGCAGCACAGCTCCTTACCGCTAGGCCCTCAGAATTCCTGAGAGCTCTTGGGGGTGGGGGGAGGGAGAAGGTAACAAAAGCTTTTGTCATTAAATAAAAAGAGCCCGGATGTTCATGTTGGCCTGCTAACCAAAAGGTCAGCAGTTCAAATCTACCAGCTACTCCGTAGAAGATGAGACAGTCTGTTCCTGTTCAGATACATAGCCTTGGAAATCCAATGGACTATCTGCCATCAAATCATTGGCAATGGATAGGATTTTTAAAAATTTTGTTATTAGCTAAATTTATTATTATTATTATTAGCTTAATTACAGACATATAAATGTAATTTATAATTCAGTAGATAATCAGATAACCCTACATGAATCTAAACTTGGAAAAGAATATAAGGATCACACGTTTTGGTCTTAAACCTTCAACTACACTTAAGTAACCTGAGGGCTGTAACTATGTATCTTTCAAATTCCCATCAACACAATGTTACAAGTAGTGAGCTTAATACAACATATAGATACAAAAAAACCACAAGGTAACTGTAATTTCTTTTGAGAGACCGGACAAAATAAACAATGTTGCCCAGCGCATTCTTTCCTTGGAATGTGCTGTCTAGCTTAATTATGAGTTGGGTAGCAAAAGTGCAGAGGGCATTATTTAATAGCTGTCACCTACTTCATCTTCACTGGCACTCAGGGACTGATCTTTTGGCAAATCCTCTAGTTCTTCTTGTTTGCTCAAAGCCAAAAGGCTGTTAAAGGAAGCAATAGAAACATATTATCACTTGAAAGACCTTTTCTTCTTTTTAAAACAAACTCTAAAACATATCTACAGTTCCTAGAATAAAACAGTATTCCCACAGACAATGAACACCGGATTAGAACAGCTGAGGGGAAGAACTGTCTGAGAGGAATATATGATTATGCATTATATGTATGAGAACAATCTGGAACAAGGAGTGCATTGCGAGGTGGGTGGGGAGAAAATATGCAACAATGGATACAAAATATATATACATATATATTTAAAAAGTATTCCCAAGAGGTACAAAGCAAACAGCATGAACATAGGGTCTTTAAGACTCAAGAACAGACTGGATTTGACAACTAACAATAGGAAAGCGTCTAACAAACTGACATTTAGACTTCAGTTCACTCAATGAGGCAGTAGTTGTTCATGATAACTGAAGGTAACAGACTTAACATTCTTGAGATTGGCGCTGCACTTCCCCACTGACTTCTGGAAAAGTGTAAAAATGTCAGATCCTAGATAAGGTGGTAGAAGATGCCGCTGCTGGTCCTTGAGGCAAGGCAGTTCCACCATTATTATTTCTAAGCATCACTCTCAAGGAGGAGAACCTACTCACAAAGTGACATCTGATCACTTGTTCCCAGGAGTAGGGAAACAGAAATGGGTAAAAACAGTTGAACGCATAAACTGTTTTCCCTAGACACCAATATTTTCAAGGCAACCATTATTTAAAGAATTACATTTAGTTCTCCCATGAGAGGAACATGAAACTGAGGAGCGAAAATGTCGGGGATGCGTCCAATTAGCAAAAGTTTCCAACATGTTAAATGCAGTCTAGTTGACTGTGACTCACTCCCAACACGCACAGCCCGCGCGGGAGTGGCGGGGAGCGTGAAGGCAGGCAGAGAGTCACGTGGTAGGTAAAACGAAACATAGTAACTTAAGATGAGGCCGTATTAGGACCACCAGGGATGACGCTGAAAGGCGCACATGATACAAATGAAACAAAATGAATCACATGAGCATTTTAAAAGCTGGGAATGCAGAAATGGTGACGAGGGGCAAGAGCTCAGAGGGGAAGCACTGTCATTTGTCAAAAAGCGTCTTCCACAGCCACAAACCCAGCGACCTCGGTCCCCAATGTGACTCAGGCTCCCTTCAGGGCTCACCTCTTTACAGAAGCCGCCGCACTCATATTCTCAGCCTGGGTATCACACGTGTGCGACAAGCGGAAGTCGAATGCGGGACTTTTCTTTTTCTTTTGCCGCAAAGCAACTCGTGTTTTCACCAATCGCAAGCGACAAGATCACGGCACTTCCGCTCCGCCGTGCGGGGGAAAGACAAGGGGCCCTTCCGGAGGCCGCAGGCAAAGGGAGGCTGGCATTTGCAGTCCCCACCCCTCCTCGGCTTTCCCCGGAGCCGGTGGCTGCTGTCCCCGCCCTCGTTTCTGGGCAACCGAAGGTGGGATCTTTAGCAGGGCCAGGTTCAGTCTTTCCTTTGTACAAAAAGCGAGTCCAAAAGGCAAGGGTCCAGGGTTTATCCGTGTTGGACAGCGCCCTGCAATTCAGTTGTCGGCCAGCTTGAGACTTTGCTGAATTCTTTTTTTTTTTTTTTTTTTTTGCAAGCACAGCAGCACTTTATTAAAAAGGGAGAGAGTAATATGATCACAAGAAAAAACTCACAAATCAAAATTACATGGTACCTTGGGTGGCATTAAATAAATACAAGGATAGGCACCCCAATCTGATAGTTTAATGAGAAAGTGGTTTGTAAGAGACTTTGCTGAATTCTGAAGTGCCAAGCATTGTGCTGGGTGATTAGACAGCAAACAAAGCCGATTTCCTACCACTTTATGGAAAAAATCCGCTTTGCTCCTATGTCTCCTAAGCCCTGCAGCCCTGTATCTATACAGAGTTATTATGTAAGAACGAGTTGTATCAGGGGCTACACTTCCTCACAGCCTATCAAGAAATTAAAAACAATGAAAGAATTTTTCTCTTACTTTTCTAAGAGAAGAGCGAACTGGGGGAGGGGCAGGGAGAAAAAGTGCCAGGATGAATGAATTTCCATCCAAAGTCTGTAAATTTTCATTAAAATGAATAGTGATAAAAAATTAAATACAACACAAACAAGAGGGAAACTAGATTAAAAGGTAGAATCAGAGGGATGAGGATGTACAGGGGGACGGGAGTTGTATCACGGAATTGTAAATTTTGATGGGTGGAGGGTGAGAGAAATGGAAAGAATCTGCTCTAGAAAGCAATGTATTCAATTTTTGTAAATAAACTAGTATTAAAGAAGTGTGGAAAACGAATACATACGAAAATATTCTTGCCACTCATTTTAAAAAATTATTTTCATGTTGTTTGTATTCTCATCATTCCATGGAAAAGGCTCTGGGCAAAATCATAGATGACACTGAAAGCTGTAAAAAAAAAAGGCCTTTGTCTTCCTACAACTGGCTATGTCGTATGATACTATTGTTGTATTTCCTTATTCATTAAAGAAATCTTGTTGGCTCCTGTCGTCAGGCCATTAAACAGTGAGGATACAGCGGTGAACAAAACAGACACGTGCCATGCTTTCATGGATCTCACTTTGTAGTGGCATTAAAGACAATGTTCTCATCAACACCCTTTCCTGGTGTTTTTTACAAACATTTCTCATTTTTTAGTGAAGGTTCACAGCTCATATTGAGTTTACACGCATTCATAGGCATTTAGTTTTAGAACATTAGCTGCCATTAATTAGTGAAATTAACTACATTGTCTAATCAACCCCTTTGTTGAGGAGCTCTGATGACTTAATGGTCAGAAATTGTGTTGCCAAACCAATGGTGCTGGTGTTAAGTGCCGTCAACTCTGGTTTCAGGTACTTTGGCTATGGTGTTAGGAGGTGCCAATTCTTGGAAAAGGACATCATGGTTGGAAAAGTAGAGGGCCAGTGAAAGAGAGGAAGACCTTCAACAAGATGGACTGGAATAATGACTAACAATGATGGAGCGGATAGCACAGATAGTGCAAGGGTCAGATCTGGTATTTATAGGGTTGTAATGTGTCATAGTCAACTCAAGGCAACAACAGGTCTTGTAGTTTTTAGTTATCCAGGGTCATGCTTCTACTAAAAGGTGCAAATACACTTTTGTTACCTTCAGAATAAATTGAAAACTCTTTGGCTCTTGTCTATTTTTCCAACATCATGGACTTGCTTACTACTTTCTTTGAGACACTTTAAATTATTTTTTTTAATGGACAGGTGATGTTTACTTAGTGTTATTTAAAGTACGAATAAAAGCAGTTAAAATGCTATTTTTAATACATAAAAATAAATATTTTAAATTGATTTGCTTACAAATTTAATATATGTTGTGTTTCACACTTTCATTCACATTGTGTTTCATACAATCATTCCCATTCATTATATTTAATAAAATTACTCCACACTGAACTATGCCCACCATTACCCACTCTTTCCAGATTCCCCACTGGACCTTTCCCATTTCCTTTACTCACGCCTCTCCACCCATCAAATTGTGCAACCCTCTAATTTCCCATCTGCACCCCTCTGCTCCTCCCCTCCCCTCCTTGGATCCTCATACATGTTTTACTAGTTATCTTTCTATTTCTACAATAATAGTTTTATGCAGTATTTGTTCTTATGAGATCGAGTTAGTTTGCTCAGCGTAATGCTCTCCAGTCCATCTCAAGTTAGGTAGTAAATTTTTAAATTGCTACTTCTGAGTGCTACATAGTATTCCATTATGTGAATGTATCACAATTTCTCAATCCATTCGATTGTGGTTGGATGGTTAGGATGTTTCCATGTTCTTGTGATGGTGAATAATACTGCTATGGACATTGGTGTACAAATCTCCATTTGTGCAGTTCAAATCCACTAGATGCTCTGCTGGAGAAGGAGAGACAATCTATTTCTGTACCAGTCAGATCCGATTTGATGGTACACACACACATCATTTAAAAAAAAATTAAAAGCCCCAAATCTCTGTTTGTGCTTCAGTTTTCATTTTCTTGAGGCATATTCCTAGCAGGGGGAATAGCTGAGTCTTATAGAATTTCTATGTTCAGCTTTTTTAGGAAACATCAAATTGCCTTCAGAGTGGTTGTACCATTTTACAATCCTACCAACAGTGTATGAGAGTTCCTATCTCCCCACATCCTCTCAATTTATTGCTCCCTGTCCTGTTAAACTTTGCCGTCACTACTGGGGTGACATGACATTTTTGTTTTTGATTTGCATCTCTCTTATTGCCAGTGATTTTGAGCAAAAAGGATATTTTTCTTGATCCATACATAATCTATACATAATCTGCTGTTAGGGACCTCTCCAAAGTACTGAAGAGCAATGGTGTCTCTCTGGAGACTAAGGTGCATCTGATACAGGCCATGGTCTTTGCAATAACTTGCTATGCATCAGAGAATTGGACAATGACCAAGGAGGATAGAAGGAGAATTGATGCCTTTTAGCTGTGGTGCTGGAGAAGAGTATTGAGAATACCATGGACCGCTAGGAAAACAAACAGATTTGTCCTGGAAAGTGTTAAACTGGGTGGCTCCTTGGAGGCAAGGATTCTGAGGCTCCGTCTAACATACTTTGGATATGTTGTGAGGAGAGACCGGTCCTTGGAGAAGGACATTATACTTGGGAGGGTGGAGGGACAGCACAGGAGGGGAAGGCCCTCTATGAGGTAGATTGATTCAGTGACTGGGGTAATCCGGATGGGAGTGTCAGAGACAGTGCAATTGGCACAGGACAGAGAAGAGTTTAGGGCTGTTGTACATAGGGTCACTATGAGTCGCAAGCAACTCGACGGCACACAACAACAACAACCATAATCTATGTAATAACTGTGTTTTTCTATACAAATGTGGATCTGAGACTGTATAAGTCCCCTAAGCACACCCCTTTCCACCATCAGCTATGTTACTGTGCCCACCCCTCTTTTCTATAGAATTCTGAAGCAGTCAATGCAGTATTTCCATTAAGTATTTCCTGAATGATGAGAAGCAAGTAGTTTTGTGAAAAGCCAGGGAAGAATGGTCCCAGCAAAAGAAGAAAAAAATGTGTGTGCACTGGCCCCCTGAATTGGGAAGACTTGGTATATTCTAGCAACTGAAAGAACAGTGAGGATGGATCATGGTAAACAAAGAAGTAAACATTACAGAGGAGAGATGGACCAGGGCCATGATAATAACTAGAAATTTTACTCTAGATGAAATGGATCACCAATAAAGGAATTGTTTTAAAAAGTGGCATAATTTAATTTTTGAGAAAATTATTTTGGTTGGTGGAGGGAGAATGGATTAGAGAGGGTCTTTAGTGGAAGCAGGGAGACCTGGGGTTAGCTTGGAATAGGGTAGTGTCTATAGAGATAGAGTAATCAATGGGCTCATCAGAAGAACATGGGAGGTAGAGACAAAAAGGAAGATGATGCTTAGATTACTGGCTTGAAAAAGTGAGCGGGTGGTAGACTACTTACTGAAATGGAGAAGAGTAGGCATAAAGAGGACTGATTTAGGGAGAGATAAAAATTTCCGTTTTGTACTTTGAAGGTAGAGATGTCAAGTTTGTAGCTGGCTATAGGAATTGTAGAAGATGGGTTACTAGGAATGCTTGATGTTGATTAAGGCCCCTGGGTAGCAGAAAAAGGATTTGTGCTCAACTTGTAACCTATAAGGGAGCCTTAATGGTGCATTCGGGCTGCTCTATGCACACCCATGTTTATCGCGGCTTTGTTCACAATAGCAAGGAGTTGGAAACAACCTAGGTGCCCATCAACAAATGAATGGATAGAGAAGCTGTGGTATATTCACACAATGGAATACTATGCTGCATTGAAAAAACAAGGAACTCATTCAATATTATTCAAAATGGGTGACCCTGGAGGACATTATACTGAGTGTAATATCTCAGTCACAAAAGGACAAGTACTGCATGGTGCCACTGTTGTAAAACAGGACTGACCTCGGGGTTGCGGGCAGACTGAGAAAGATGGGTTTAATAATGTCTACTGCATTGAAACATGAGGGAGAAACCTGTTTAAAAGGGATATGTGATTAGGCATTTTTGTCATGACAGGAGTCCAGAGTGAAGGCTGTATAGTGGAGTGGCCCTGGGGGAAGGGATTGTAAAACAATGAAAGAATTTATCTTTTACTTTTCCATGAGAGTAGTGAGTGTACTGGGGAGAGGAGGGTTAGGAGGGGAGAAAAGTGCAACAATGAATTAATGGAAATCCGAAGTCTCTGTAAATTTTCACTGAAGTTAATAATAAATTTTTTAAAAAAGAAAAAAAAAGAATCGGGCTGCTAACAGAGAGGTAAGTTGTCAGAACCCACCACTAGCTAGTCTGTTGGAGAAAGATGATACAGTCTGTTCCTACTGGACAGTTCTACTCTGTCTTGTAAGTTCCCTATGAATTTTAATTGAC